AGTGATGACTGGTTGTCATTAATGAGTCCGTGGGATGAGTGAAATTTTTATTTAAAACATTTATCAAATTTGGTCTCAGGATCTTTGGATGCGTCGATGGAAATTTCACTTCTGTTGGATTTTTAGTTATTAAATATATCGCCATTTAAAGTTTTTTATCTTTATCCTTCAAATTTTGGCCTCATTGACCACGATGATTTTGAACTTAAATCAATTAAAATGTTGTTAATGTGTAAAGTTTAATCTTAAAACAGATGAATTTAATTATTATCAATACAACATTTAATGTGTCATCGTTTTTATCTAAAACTTTTTAGTTTAATAATCTTGGCTTTAATGAGCATAATGTGTATTTCATTAATCATCTATCCAGTTAAGTGTCTGTGAGCTTCAAGATTATTTCTTGGTAGGGCCTCTTCTCAGTTTTTATTGCAACTGGGAGTTCATTTAAGTGCAGCATCTACAGAAATTCCACACACACACCATTTAAAGAACACGCAGACTCTACTGGTGGCCTTTGTTAACCTACTTTCTGTACTATTTGCAGATGCCTTGTTGCCTAGCAGGTGACAAGGCATCTGCAAAGAGGAGAACATGCAAACTCAAAATATACAGCAGGCGTCAGGGTCGGGATCAAACCCACGACGACCTGTATACTAGGCGAGGGAGTTAACATCTCACCACCGTGGTGCAATATTAGTTAGAATGTGTTAGTTGGTCGAGATTAATTACTTGAACGGTGACTACAACTGTTTTACGCTGTCTGTGTTGTTTGTTGCGGCCCAACTGGCTTCGTTTTAAGACCTTTAAACAAGTATTATGTTGGATAGGCCCACTGTATGAATACCATACATGTGAGAGGCCACTGATTCACACACACTCAACAGTTGTGCCAATAGGGGTGCTGCCTTATTGGGCAAGTTTTACAGAGTTGAATCAAACTTTCACACGCAGTTTTAAGCTGGCATTGTACAAAACAAAAGCCAATGAACTCAATTGACTTCGATTTGAGAGCACGCAAAAGACCAATAGAACAGAGTTGTGGAGTCCTTTATCTATCCACACTTTCAGTCATGGGGGTTTTGTATGTATGTTGAACTTCTTTCGCACCGTACGTAGCCAACCGTAATAATCGGAGGTGCGGGCCATACTTCACCACGCCGGTCAGTGCGGATTGGTGAAGGGTTCGCCCATGATGGCTTAGGACGCCACTGATGTGAGCTGTGACTGGAAGTAGAACACGGGTCACCAGGTTCATAGTGTGGTGTGCCAACCACTGCGTTCCGCTTCTCCCCTTTAACATAAACCAAATGTCCCTAAAGCTATACATCTATGTCCACCATTGCAACTCACATTTTCTCTAGTCAATGACAATCCATCTTCTTGGTTCTTTCGGTAAAGTCACGTAGAAGGGAAATAATAAAATAATACAAATAAAACATAATAAAATAATTCTCACGACGTTTCGGCCACAACGCAAGCAGCCGTCCTCAGGTGAAGAACAGGTCTGACGCTGTCTTTCCGACAGACCTGTTCTTCACCTGAGGACGGCTGCTTGCGTTGTGGCCGCAACGTCGTGAGAATTATTTTATTATGTTTCATTATATTATTTTATTATTACCCTTCTGCGTGACTTTACCGAAAGAACCAAGAAGATGAATCCCAGCAGTCACGAAAGCTTTAAATCGAAATGACAATCCAATTTATGTTCACAATGTGAATATAAACGGAGCTTAATTATCCAAGATGATTAAATGCAATTATTTGTTATTGATGTAACCCAGGTTCCTTTTTTACAAGAGGCAATGCTGTTCCCAAGTGTCTCAATGGGTTTATTTCATCTTCTGATTAAATAAGGGTTACACACACGCACACATACAACACATGCTCAAATGTGTATTTGTTTAAAAACGTATGCATTAGTAGAATATGCACAATACATCGTGTGTCGGGTCCTAAATGTTTTATATGAGCCCATATAATTGAAGAACTGGAAGCTGTCCTCGAAGGAAATTGCCACAGAGCTGCATAGCATGTGGAATGAAAGGGGAAAGTGATCAAATATTTAACGTGGCTGGGCAACGTCACTCTCGATGAAGGATCGCGCGGGGGGTACCGTGTGCTTTGAGAGAAAGGACACAGCACCGGTTAGTTATGTCTGCTCCGTTAACCCGCTGACTTTCACAAAAGAGCCCACAGAGTATGCATAGTTCCCATCGGCGTTACAAAGTAATGTGACATTAACAACAAAGTCACATACTCCTTGGTTCTTTCGGTAAATTCACATAGGTATAACATTTCTTGCTGTAGTTTTCACACCTGATGATGATTGCTTGTGTTGCAATCGATACGTCCTGATTTATTTTATTTTATATTTTCTACCTACGTGACTTTACCGAAAGAACCAAAGAGTATTGATCCCTGCAGTCACGAAAACTTCACATTTTAAGTAATTATATGTTCAAATCAGCATTTGGGTGATACTCATCTCCTGCTGATTACAGCCCTGAGCCAGTGGTATGAATTCCACATTCATAACGTCCCCAGACAGTGCTACTCATTTTATTGGCCCCCAGAAGACTGATGGGCTCAGTTAACCCACCACCCAAGGATTTGAACTCGCAGCCTTCTGCTTGCAAGCCACTCACTCTGCCGCTAATTGACCTGGCCGGTTACTTTTAAATTCAGCACAAGTGCATATGAAGTACTTCGTTTTATGTGTGTCACATGCCCATGCGACAATCAAATTCTGCGTAGGAATGCAGGTGCAATTGTGCTGCATTCTTTTTGAGCTGTAATAAATTGACATGAAGGCATCGGTCATGTTGAGGGTGATATTGAAAGACATTTTGAAATCGTCCAACTGTTTCTTGACATTTTATTTTCTCTCCCAGCTCTATCGTGCATGCTCGCTGCCGGACGTGTCATGAACTCAATCATTTTGCTTAATTTTCCCAGGTTGTCGAAGGCAGTTTCTCTAAAATGATAATAACGAGGTCTTCCAGCCTGTGTGATAATTAATCCGCTGGTCTTCGTCCTGTGAATGGGTTTTTTTTTTGGACATCTGTCTCATACTGATAGGAACCTCCTGGTTACACCAGCCAACAGAGGATTATTGTGTCCGTCCGTCGTGCAGGGAGGGGCTGGGTGGGGAGGGAGGGGCTGGGTGGGTAGGGGCTGGGTGGGGAGGGTGGGTGGGGCTGGGTGGGGAGGCGAGGGTGGGGAGGGGCTGGGTGGGGAGGGTTGGGGAGGGGCTGGGTGGGTAGGGGCTGGGTGAGGAGGGTGGGTAGGGGCTGGGTGGGGAGGGTGGGTGTGGCTGGGTGGGGAGGCGAGGGTGGGGAGAGGCTGGGTGGGGAGGGTTGGGGAGGGGCTGGGTGGGGCTGGGGGGGTGGGGCTGGGTGGGGAGGGGCTGGTCACCCCGTGGTGTCCTTATAAAACTCAACGTTTAACCTACTCACGCCGGCTTGTGCCCACCCTCACAGTCGGGCATATTTGCGGAATACACCACGCCGCCGTTGACCCTGGCCATTGACCGAGCAACCCAACGTGCCTACCAGCTCCCTCCGCAGGAATGTGTTTAAGACTGCTGCCCTGTGTTCCGTCGTTGTCTTCAGAAAGTCACTTCGCGAGCAGTCAAGGGCTCACGAGAATGAAAATAAAAAAAAAACACTTGTTCTACATTTTACTTACCGGTTTAAAATGTTGTGGCTCTGTAGCTTGCTTATGTAACGGTGATAACTATTATTTTAACGTAACCTTTGGCCAGTGCATCCTCTTCGGTTAGTACCAAGTGGTCAACATCTACACTGGACAGACAATTATATTTGTGTGTGTGTGTAGCGCTATATACCGACTATAATCAACCAGGAATGTCTGTCCTTAACGCTCGTGACGTCACTCCACATCGACCGGCCCCCCTCATTAATATTCATGACCAGATGACGTCCTCCAAATGGACACCCCCCCCCACCCCTCCCTATTAATAATCATGAGTGGTGGGTGACGTCACTCAATATAGAGTAATAATCATGCGCAAGTGACGTCACTCCACATCGAACAGCCCCCCTTTTTAATAATCATGAGCAGGTGACATCCCCCAAATGGACACCCCCCCCCCATTACTACTACCTACTATAATGAGCCAAGAATGTCTGTGTGCAATGCTCGTGACGTCACTCCACGTCGACCAGCCCCCCTCATTAATAATCATTATAAGGTGACGTCCTCAAAATGGACACCCCCCCCATTAATAATAATTAGTGGGTGACGTCACTCCACATGGGGGGGCCGAGGTGCCTCCTCCCCCCTCCTCGGTGTCAATCTCACAACCCTCACTACAAAGGCAGAACCCTCACGTCACGCGATCTCCGTAACGCTGTTGAGACATCAAAGTAAAAAGGACGTCGTGATGGACAAGGGATTATCACTTTAAAATGAAATGGGTGTGTGTCACCGCACCCTTACAAACTGCACACGAATTAATGCAATGAATATCACGTCGCGGTCTGTTCTTCGCTTGCAAGTTTCAGATTTACTGCAATACATATATTTAATAATAAGGTTCATTGTTTAATATCGATTCTTAATTGTACTTAGTCGTTTTTCAAAGAGTTTTTTTTTCTGAATTGTTTTTTATTACAAATGTTTCCGGGTTTTTTTTGCTGAAATAATTTTAACAAATAGTACATTGACAAAGTGACTGCTGCGATTGCCAGGTGGCTCAGAGGTCAGGGGGCTGAGCATGGCACCACTAAAGTCCTGGATTTAAATTGAGGTCTTGGCCACCTGTGATTAAAATTGCGTTCTCAAGTCTCACAGCCTGCTCACCGATAACACAATCGGAATGAAATTGGTTCAACAGAAAAAAAATGAAGACTGCACTTATGCTAGCGGGCCTCGCCACGTCCTGGCGTATCACAGCAGCATTAATGGTCATTTCTCTAACAGCAGGCAGTCCGTGAAGACTAAACGGCGGGGGATGTCTGTCTGTGTGCCTGCAGACAGAAGAGATAAAGAGGAATGCCTTTCTACCATCCTGGAAGAGCCAGAAGACCTACGAGGTGAGCACAGAACACGCTCGCAATGCCCGACTTTAGAGTTACCTCCCGATCCGCTGTTTGCCCAAGCTCTGAAAACCTTGCTCAAATGGGGCAAGCGAGCCCATTCCCCATCTTTCTATCCCCTGCTTTTCATAACCCTTTTTGCTTATGTTGACGGTGTGTTTACATTTTGGCTTAAAACTTTCGTGACTGCAGGAATTCATATTCCATGGTTCTTTCGGTAAAGTCACGTAGCGAGAAAAACTAATAATCAAAATAAAGTTAATAAAAATACCACGGTGTGTTTACGTGCGTCACAACGTGATGTATCGGCACTGTTTGTTTCCGGCCTCTCGATTGCTTTGGACCTTTTTGGGCCTCGGCTCAAACTGTGTGATGTAAGAAAACGCCCCACATTGTTCCCACTAATCGGCTTGTTCAGTGCATCCGCCGCTTCTCCCCTTCTAGCCACCGACCCGCAGCTCGAGCCAAGGGCTTTCCTTTATTAGGGAAAGGCGATTGTAATGTGTTGTCATGAGGCGTGCCATACATCAGCACTCTACCCCTATTAGATAGCCGCGCACCCAAAGCCTTGCGCAATGCCTCTGTTGCCTTGTTGCCGTGAACCTTTCCCACTTTAAATTCGTGGCATCACAGCGGGGTGATGTCATGAACTCAATTAATTGCTTAATTGCCTTTTTGATGGTTTACATGGTTTTGAACAAAGTGGTTCTAATCAATGTTTTGTCCGCATGGAAATGAGCTTGGCAGTTCCTGTCCAATCCATTTGAACATCGGAATATGATGTTCTATAATTGATATCATCGCCAACTCTCGCACTGAAGTTTTACTTGGCCTGCCATTTGTACAGGATTGATAAAATGGATACCACTTTGTTGTAAGTCACCAGTGCAGATGGATTGGGTCATACCATCTCAATGTGGAGTTTACAGCACTTTGCCTCCATTGGAAATCAACACGGCCAAATCCCCATTTGGGAATTGCTGCTTCCTTCACGATGGATGTCTTAGTGGACAATCATACATTATCACGAATAATAATATTGCAAATCATTTTCAAACATGGGCTATTGCGAAGTGTTAACCACTCTTCCCCTGCCCCACCCTATGGCACGTTAATCGATAGAACTAGCAATGTCTCCCGGTGACCTGATGTTGAGAGTAGACTCAGCACATTTCATGTGACGGGTCATGAGAACCCTGTTGTAGACATGCAAGCGGGCGCACACCCAATTTTTTTAGGATTTCTGGAGGACTACGACTACATTTATGCACATTCTACTTCATTGTTATTTCAATTTTTATTTTAAACGTTCATGCTGAGCCGTGGCTTGCCGTAGCCAAGCCCATTTTCTACATGGCCTGGGGGAAACGTAAAGAATTACCGGCAAGTTTGTGAGCCCATGCCACCTTAATGCTTCTCCCTTGCCAAAAGGCGGCATGGGATCCTTTATGTACTCCAGTGCCCTGGCGATAAATGCTAAAGTGGTCATGCTTTGATATTGGAAGGTGATGTTGCCAAGGAGAGGACTGGCCTATCAGTCCGTTGTCTTCATAAATGCCTCTGAGTAATAATGTTCTTATAGCAGTGGAGAGAAAATCAAGGGGACTCCAGCTGGTTGACAAAACGTTTTCTTTTTTAAAATAGCAGCATATTGGCAAGTTTAATTTGGAATTCTGAGAACTAAAGTGATATTTGTGATGAGTAACTCTGCATGTGTGAGGAGCTATGCAGTATGGATGAAAGCATTTTTTAATGACCTGCCAGACCTGAATAAATTACTTATCAGCTGTGAAGATCAATGAGCGTTTAGATTTGATTCTGGGCATGCGGGACCTCATCTGTCCTCCTAAAACTTAGACGGCTCGGCAAAGCTGTCTGCTGAGAATTGTATCTATTCATGAATGTGCTCTCCGTGTGCTCATCTGGCCCGGGTCACACGTCCATCTTTAATGTGAGAATCCAGTCCATGGTACAAGAAATCCCGACAACGAGAGCGACGATTACAGTATGAATCCACAAGAAAATTCACAGAAAATGATCACCCTGTCCCTCTCTATGTTATCCTTTGTAGTGCTGAAATAACAATATAAAAAAAAACATAATTAAAGTTACAAATTTATTTATACGTTTTTACAGAATAACAATTATAACCCAATGCCCCACGTTAGTTTAGCTGCCAGTATTCTTTAGGAAAGTGTACCAATGTTTTGAGCAATTTCCTGCCTTCAGAGTTATATATAGGACCGTGGGCTCAATATCGTCTGTTTTAATAGCCTCGTGATTTTTTTCAAGGCTCGTCAAGGGGTTGCTCACAGGAGAGGATGAGAGCGAGGGGCTATCTCCCTTAATGGAGTACAATTGGTTTTATTGAACGGATTACATCTGGGATACGTCAAGTCCGGCTCGGCTTGGGTCACCGGTAGAGCGGCGAGAGCGTGACGGGCATCGCAGTGAAGGGAGGTCGCCAAACCGCCCAGCACCACGGGCCGGGACGCCATCGCCCCTTGCGGCCGTCTGGAACGCTCTTTCTTCCGATATTCGGAAGCCGCTGGAGCTATGCACTACTAAATCATCTAGATTGACAACTCTTTTCTTTAGAACTGCTTCATGTGTTTAGTTTGTTAACCCCCCCCCCCCGCCCCCAACGCACCTTCGATTAGCACGGTTGGCTATGTACGGCGCGAAAGAAGTTCAACATACACACGGTACATACATCGCTTGACCCGTTCTGACCACGGCACATGGCTCTCCTTTCACCCTCCCCCCACCGTCCCTGCCGCTGCCGCTGCCACTGCTGTTTGCTGCTGCTCGCAAATGCCACCGCTCCTCCGCGGGATGACCCCGGGCAGGCTACTCGCAGGATGGAGAGGCTGGGACTGCTCGCAGCCAAGCTCAGGAAGACAGCTCAGGTAAAGGCATTTTACACCGAAGACTAATAATAAACGACACGTGACATCCACACCGTGCTTACATCGCAAGGTGAGCATGAAGGCGCTGTGTTTCACAGACGAATATAGTCTGCCAGTTGGGGGCGATGTCACCACGTGGTTTTACTTTGCGGGTACATTTTATTTTCTGGACCATGACGTCGGCACACGTGGTGGGCCTACTCTTTTTTCTCATAGCATCACGTGATCTTTTGACGTTCACTGTAATGCAGACGGCACGCATTGTTGGGTTAATGAGCCGCAGTATTAATCGGGGCGGCCGCTGAGCTCGAACCTGCAAACCTCTGCGGATGTGCCGCTCCCACAACTTGCCTGCTTTGCGTCCAGGGTGGCGGGGCGTCGGTGAGTGGAAAGTGCCATGGCAAGGGGGGGGGGGGCTTTGAGTCTAGATTAGTTTACGTGTCGCTGATACGGCCTTTACAAATATTACAAATTGACAGCTTACATTAAGATATTCTGCGTAAAACATCGCCACTGGGAAGACAAAGGCGACCTGGCGTGGTGCTGGCCACCTACCCCCACGTGTGACGTGCCAGCCTTCATAGGTGCTACTCGCTAACAGCATTTTCCCCAACAGTCTGTTCGGGCTATACGGGGGGTTTTTGTCTTTTTGCATGAGCTTACAACGCTTCTCAAAACCAAGCAGTGACTCCAGCCCAGATAAGAAGTGGCTAATTGAGCAGCACATGTTGTAATGCCTTGCAGGAGGTCTGAGAAAACAAGTAAGTCGCATATAATGAGTGCAAATAATTTACAATGGAAGCACATCTCGTTCCTGCTGTTAAACACTTATTTTCAGTTGTTCCCACTTGCAGATTAATGCTTGGGTCAACACGCTATAATTAGGTGATTGCATTCATACATAGTGGGGTTTAGTTTTTTCTGTTCCTTGTGCATTCACTGCCTGATTTAGCTCTTGTTATCTATTCCAGTTAACAAGCTTATTTTTAGACCACTTAACACCCGCATTCGTGGCACTAATGGCACGGTACACCACAGGTGAGAAATGTGTAATTACTGCCTGTGCGAGATAAAACTGAATACATTTTTTAAAAATTCCCTACCGAACTCAGGATATCCGTTCGTTATTTCGATTCGTGCCATGGATAAGTCAACGAGTAGATACATTAATCGACCTGCTTAGTGTTGCCACTGAGCATGGCATATTTATTTTATTTCCCATAATGCTACACTGTATTGCTCAGGTGAGTTATATTGTTAGCAATGTCCACGAGTGTAAAGTAATTTTTATGGAGGGTCTTGCTTGGAATGTTTGGTCCGTTTCTTCTTTGAGTGTTTTTTCTCGTGGGAGGACACTGGAGTGTCCACCGATAACGCTCGTAAATCCACACATACCGGTCATGAACCTCGTCACTACACTGCCACATGGTGGCCACTTCATAGCCTTGGAGATGAGGAACCCCTCAAGCTCTCCGTGATCTCTGAACCACCAACTGCACCTCCTGATCACTGGATTTACAGGCGTGTGCCACCACGCCCGAATAAACGATCTTCTCTGATTACACATTCGAACATCTTTCTTCAGATCTCCTCCCGAGCACCGAACTGACCTGTCGCTTATTTGACCACTTCCCAAGTGGACTGGGATTACTGTTCAGCCTTGAGAAGCATCGGATGCCTACCTACTCTCACGCTTTTGTCGTCGTGCGTTCCTGCCACTTGAGTGTCGGTCATAGATCGGTGTCGCCACCCGCAGGACTCTTCGTCCTCTTAAACATTCGCAATTCCCTCTGGGTCCACGGGAGCCCTGTGCACAGGCGGCATTTGCGACGGGCACCGAGTGTCCGTCCCTGTGTCACCTGTTTTTGGTGGCGGAGGGCAAGGCAAGAGAGGGATGGTATGTGGCTGAACGACGTCGCCAAATTTAGATTTTTTTTTGCCCGTCCGAGGTTGTTATTGTTGTTGTCATGTGAGAAGGCTGCGTGCTGTGGCCACTGTGGTGTGGCTATGCCGACCTGCTCGCTCGCATGGGCTCAGTGGGATTGCCTTGGGGCTTTATGCGTTCGGCTCCGTGGAATTCTGATGTCTTGCCGATGTGGTGACCTGCAGAGCGGAGGTGAGCGGGATGTCGGGGAGGGCGGATTTAGGGCTCGCGCTGGTCACAGCCTTTGAGCTTAATAACCAGTCTCGCTTGAGCCCCCGATGAAGCGGGCTGGCTAGAAATCTGCAGAAGCTGTAAGCGCCATATGTGACATGAACCCTTTCCCGTTGTGAGATGTCTGCAAGTTGCAGGGTGGGTCCCGTTCACCGCTGAATCTCGGGACACACAAGCGGTTAGCGTAGCGCCGTGTTTTTAAAGACATTGTGCTCACCACAGAGAACTGTAGCGACACGACCACATTCTATGATCGCTGGTGCCAAACTGTGCCACACGCCCTCCCACATGGCCTTGTGGGAGCCTCGGAACTGATAAAGTTATTTTAGTTATTTGAGTTTTTTCCCCACAATTCCATTCCGATCACATACAAGCACGTCATCGGAACAGAATTGGAAGAACATCTGATGGCGTACAAGTACGTCATCGGATTGGGAAAGGGTTAAGGTAAGCTCTATGTTCAGCGCCCCGTGAGTTTGCCAGCCAGTCTGATCGAACGGAAAACCCCATGGGATGGTACCACTAATTTTTTTTGGCAGCTTCTAGCCCATTGATGGGCATTCTACATTATACATTCCATTAGCAGGGTCTACTTTTCATGAGAATGATTAGAAAAAAGTCAATAATCATCATGCTTCGTTGACCTAGAAAAGCCTTGCTGGATCTCAAGGCCTCTTTGAGCAGTTCCTGCTCGTAATGTGACGTGATGATATTGGAGTACCCAGAGGAAACCCGTGCATATGAGACGATAACCGGCAAGGCTCTGCACAGATGTAGAGGCAATGCACCTGCTCTACTGCTTCCTACAGGCACTTTGTTGCCCTGTAAGTGGTCATCTCTCGTACATTATGTGATTGTGATTCACTATTCCGTCTTCATGGTGGCTGCATTGCAGGAATACCCACACCGAGTATAATGAATCAAAGAAGGGTTCTGGCCTAGCATCCCAAAGAAATCGTCGTCATCAGCCACATTCGATCCATTGCTGGATGAAGTCCTCCCCACGTCGAATCGTGATGCGGTGATCCATCTCGCTCGTGCACGAGTTTGTCTCACCGCTCCATCTCCACGGCGGTGGAACTCTTGCGCGAGTGTGCGCTCCCTGCTTTGTAGTGTGGGAGCGGTGGCACAGTGGTCAGCGCTACGCTGCGCTACGAATCTAGCGCCCCGAGTTCGATCCCCGCTCATGGCCACCAACACCGGTGATGATTATCTAAACTGGTTCTTAGCCTTCCCTAGGTCGACTCAGCCTCAAGTGCGATGTGTAAACATTGCCACTGGGTAGACAAAGGCGGCCGGGCGTGATGCCGATCACCTAACCCCTTCGTATGCTGTGCCGACCTTCATAGGCACCGTTCGCTTAACAGCACTTGCCCCAGAAAGTATTTCAATGGTACTATATGGCTGGTATTTGTCTTGCCATAGCATCACCAGTCTCCATCCGTGAGCGATTATCCCTCCTTGTGAGGTGTTTCGCCAAAGCCCACTCTCCGTAGCAGACAAGATGATGTCTCCGGCGTGTGTTTGTTGCCTGATCCACGTGTTTCTGTGTCTGTCTCGCAGTGCGGTTCCAAGCGTGCACCACTCCATGCTTTTTCTGTTTGCCGTTTTCAGTGCTTTTCCTGAAGCACATACCATTCGCAAGCAACGTGCACTAATTGAAACGCATTTCCATTCACCCACATTGTTACTTTGCTTTTCGTTGTCAAATGACTCCATCCTGCCGTCACTTGCCGCCTCTACAGGCGTACACATACTGCTGCTGTGCGTTTCAATGTTGTCCCTCTTCACTATTTTGTTCATTTTGTTCTCAAGCAAAGCAATAATCTCTTTTTAAAAAACAGTCTTCATCCTTAGTGAGACTGGCCTGGGTGAATAAAAGCACCTCCGATTAGTGTGGTTGGCTACATGCGGTGCAAAAGGCGTTCAACAGACATACATGAATCAATTATTATACAGTGTCACTTGTAAGACCACGCAGGGAGTGTAGGATTATAGTTTACTGCTCAATAGGCGCCCAGTGATTATCCCATCTTACCATTTGATTGTCACGATTCGGGGGGGGGGGGGGGGGGGGTCGCGGTTTCATTCAGCAGTCGATTCCAATTTGGCACAATGGCACATATGCAGCATCTCTGGTAACTCGAGGCTTTTACAGAAGCGACTACGTGCAACTTACGAAAGCCATGAAACATGAACATTGTATTCTGCTATGAGCGATGCACCTCCGCGTAGTCGCATGCTAACTCTTTCACCACAGCTGTTATGGTTGTAGCATGAGCGTAAAGTAAATTGCGCATGAGTATTCCAGCATGCGCTCCTTGGGAAGTGGAGAACATTCTCCCCAGTGGAAGTTCGGCTTGCCCCCAGGATGCCTGCCCTTGCTGGACACACAGAACCACACCCTTAAGATTAACCTTGAGATTCCTGGCCAAGCGTTTGGATGCGTGGGTGCCCTGTCGACGTTTGATGTTGCTATGGACGCGAGTCTGGTGGGGCCAAGTTGCGCACGACTGGGTATTTTGAGGCCCTGCCAGATGCTTGGTCCTCCAGTCATGTATGACCCTTTCTAAGGTCTCATCACGCAACACACACATACACTCTTCCCCAATCACATTGTTTTGTTGCTTGAGTTTCTGGCATTGTTGGTCGGCAATTTCGTTGTGCACTTTTGCGTTCGCTCACCGCATTCGTTTATTTGGTCCGTATTTTTGATTAATAGGGATTGGGGGTCCTCATTGTCCTGGGATGGGCCATAAAATCCGACTTGTCTAATGCCCTAAGCCCGAGCACATGCACAATACACATTTCCGGGCAATTACCCAACAGGGAATGCTGCCTTGCA